TCCGCCGGCGTTGGACAGGCAGTGCGAGATGTGTCTTGTTTTGTTTTTGTGATTGCTTGATATAGATGATTGAAGATCACCTCGCAGCCTCACAGCTTATTGGCACAGTCGGTGTTGGCCTGCCCTCAACAAAAAAAGGCCACGATGCTTCCCACCTCACATGCAATATCTTCTATATACATAGCGAACCAGCAGTTTCCTTTCATATTGCAGCCAACTGCACAGCCCACTGCAGGACCTGGGGCCTACGACGTCTAAAGCCAAGCTGGGAGAAGAAGCAGTTGGAATTGCGGATAAGCGGGGCTAGCTGGAGTTCTCTATATTCTGGGCTTTGTGGATTGTTTTCGCCGGTTGCCGGATTTCATATATATATATATATGTCCAAGCAGCGCAATTGATAGAGCATTGGTCTCTGGCATGTCCGTTTATGTCAATATCTTCTATCTATACGGCGCACCGGTGACCTTCATGTTGCAGGAAGCTACACAACCGACAGCAGAGCAGAAGAAGGCCGGAGACCCAGAAGAAAGATTGAAGGGTAGGAGGCCAGAGTGGAAGTTTAGGCTGTTTCAAAAAAACAGGAAACACTACACACATATTTTAACCTTCTGTGTGCAATATCTTCTATTCACAAAGCAGCGCAGCAGTTCCCTTTCGTGTTGCAGCAAAAGGATTAGGGCCAAGCCGGCGACGTCTAAAGCCAAGCCGCCCGTCTAAAGGTGCCCACTTGGGTATGCCTCGCAAAGTAGAAAACGTGTTGCAGTCCCTATTCTGCCCATTCCAATTACAGCAAGAAAAGTAACCATTTCTTTGGCAGCTATCGCACACAGCCGTAGAGATCAGGAGCCACGTGTACAATGGACTTGGCAGCAGTGGTGGCAAGCCATGCTGGTGTTTCCATGTTACTGTCATTGCTGGGGATGCTCGCGCTCTGGATTAGGCTTTGCATCATGGCAGGCTGTGGGAAGGCCAACGCTTCAAGTGCGAGGGGCCACTGTCTAGTTGCAACGTCGGCATTTTCTGGCCCGATGGCGATAGAGGATGAGCCTCCCATCGTGGCTCGCATGCTGCGACTGCCACCTCCACCACACGAAGATGAGCTAGATGAGGAAAAGGAAGACATCGAGGATCACATGCAGCGAACGCCACCTCCACTATGGGAACTTAGGCTAGATGAGGAAGAAGAAGACGAGGAAGAGGAAGATGATGGTTCTGACCATGGGGAACGGTTGCTTCCTAGCTCCAATGGGTGGCACTTCAAAGATGTCAGGTACCGCATCTTAACGAAGCAACATGTGTCCAGCCACTAGACCATGTGAGGCCCTTGCAAAATTAATTGGAAGTTTTGGTGAAAACTTCTTTCAGCCCAGGATGTACAGTATACTACTGTAATGAACAAAGACATGGCACGTCTGGCTGCCGCAGAAAAAGGCCATTTCCGCAAATGATTGGGGAGCGTAGCAGCTAAAGGTAGGCAAGCCAGAGTGACAGTTGATAGAGCATTGGTTTCCAGCCTCCATTAATGTCAATATCTTCTATTTATACAGGACACCTGTGACCTCTCATGTTGCAGGACCCTATACAACCGACGACTGAGCAGAAGATTGGACGAGAATATCTTCTCACTGCTTGGCTCAGGCCAAGCCGGCAACATCTAAAGCCAAGTTGCGGGAAGAAGCTGGAATTGCGGGTAAGCGGAGCTAGCAGGTTCTCTATATTCTAGGTTTTGTGGATTGCGTTCGCCGGTTGCCCGATTTCGCATATATTTATATATATATATATAATATATATATATATATGTATAATGACCGAGCAACGCAATTCATAGAGCATTGGTTTCTGGCATGTCCGTTTATGTGAATATCTTCTATATATACGGTTGCACGGTCACCTTGGCCTTCATGTTGCAGGAAGCTACACGACCGACAGCAGAGCAGAAGAAGGCCAGAGACCCAGAACAGAAGGGCTGTCCCAGAGCAGAGCATTGAAGGGTTGTCGCAATAGGAGGCCTGAGTGGAAGTTTTGGCTGCTGTGAATGTATTAAAAAAACACATATATATATATATATTTCAACCTTCTGTGTACAATATCTTCTATATACACAGCAGCCCAGCAGTTCCCTTTCAACAGCAACATCAGGGCCAAGCCAGCGACGTCCAAAGCCTTTGCCAAACCATCGAACCTCGCCAAGCTATGGCGGTTGTGCCCACCGCACCCCCGCTCTATCCACGGGCATTGGACATTTTGGACGAGCTGTGGTGGAAGTGGGACGAAGTGTCCTGCATGGTTATTGATCTTGTGTGATCTGGTTTTGATTTGTAGATTGATGGATATATAGGTGTTTGGGTCCGGTATATATATATCATCATTGTCCATTTGATCCATCCGAGTTACAGACCTACTTGGAGAGCTTTGAAGACTACCTCACAGCCTATTGGCACGGTGCTGGCGAGACCAAAAATGGCCGAAAACAAGGCGTCGAGGATTTCCACCGCTTGGCGCAGCCTTTCTTGGATGACAAGGGCATTCCGTCTTCAGTGGCTACGTGGGAAGACCTTTTGGTACCGAATGCTGTCCGCGCCCTATGCCAGAAATGGTTCGATACTTTCCACTTGTTGAACAATTGCACGTGCCAGGCCTTTTGCACGGGCTTTTGTGGGTGGTGCCTGTCGGAATTGGAGGCACGTTGGGATCCCTTCCTGGATGCTTTGCTGGAGCGATTGTTTCAGTACCTTTTCCTGTTCAACTGTCTGGTAAAGCATCCATGGGCTTGGGGCTGGAGGAAGTGGCACAGTGTGCATTGCATACTTGAACTTCGAGAAGTATTTGTCACCCGCTACCGAAGGGAGCGGTGGGAGAGGCATCAGCTGCGTGCCCACCAGTCGAGGCCAGATCACATCGATGATCGACGTGGAGGATGTGATTTGTAAATGTCAGCCGTGCTTCTGCTTCAGATGACCCATATCTTCTATTTATGTGTACAATGTTTCTGGGTCACCGCGGGATCGGGAATGGGGCCAGGTCGCCGGCCCGTTTTGTGTTTAGGAAGCCGAAAAGGCTCCTAGCGCCACCTCATAGCTCACTCCGCTCGAGTGCATACATTTAGAGATCCTGTCGGTCACGTGGGGTTGAGATAGCTCAAACAAATCTTCTATATATGCGCGTTGTTTTTAATTTTGTTCTTGTGTCAGGTTTTTTCATCGATGGTTTGGTTGCCTGTGACTGTAAGATCTGGAATAGGGTCTGATAGCCAGCCCGTTTTCTGTGCTTGAGAAGCCAAAATGGCTCCTAGCGTCGCCTAGTGGCTCACTCCGCTCACTCCGCTCAGTGGAAAGCACAGGTAACACACACGTCGGAGTTAGAGGAGAGGACGAGAGGAGAACAAGAGATGAGATATACAATTATGTCTTTATGTTATAAGCACAGATTTTGTTGACGGTTTCCTGATATATTGCAACATGTACTGTCTGAGACTACTCAATGCTTCCTGGGAATATCTTCTATTTATATAATTAGATAATGTCTCACGGCCCAGGTGCCCGGGCCCGCGAGGACTGCTGCGGAAGCTCAGCAACTGGAGAAGGGAGTGGGTCGGGTGTTTTTTGCTGCAGCAAAATGCGAAAGAGACAAAGGGTGTGATGAGATGAACAAAACAAAATAGAGTTTACGGCGTAACAAATGAAGGTAGGCAAGCCAGAGTGGAATATATATATATATGTATATTTAAACCTTCCACATACAATATCTTCTATTTGCACAGCAGCCCAGCAGTTCCCTCAGTTCCCTTTCATATTGCAGCCAACTGCACAGCCCACTGCAGGACTTGGGGCCTTTTCACTCCTTGGCGCAGGCCAAGCCAGCGACGGGGGGCTAGCAGAAGTTCTCTACATTGTAGGTTTTGTGGATTGTTTTTGCCGGTTGCCGGATTTCAGACATATATATATATATATGTCCAAGCAGCGCAATTGATAGAGCATTGGTTTCTAGCATGTCCGTTTATATCTTCTATTTATATGGTACACCGGTGCCCTTCATGTTGCAGGAAGCTACACAACCGACAGCAGAGCAGAAGAAGGCTGGGGGCCAAGAACAAGGATTGAAGGATTGTTGCGATAGGACGTCAGAGTGGAAGTTTGGGCAGCCTCAAAAAGATCCAGGAAACACTGTGTATAAATATATATATATACACATGTTTAACCTTCCGCGTGCAATATCTTCTATTTACGCAGTGGCCTGCACAGCCGACAGCAGAATTAGGGCCAAGCCGGCGACGTCTAAAGCCAAGCCGCCCGTCTAAAGGTGCCCACTTCAGGTCCTGGAATTCCACCAGCGTTAGACAATTTGGACGAGCTGTGGTGGCAGTGCGAGATGTGTTTTGTTTTGTTTTTGTGAATGCTTGACATTAGTTCTTAAACTGTGATCTTGTGTGATCTTGCTTTGATTTGTATATTGTTGGACATATATATATATAGATGTTTGAAGATCACCTCACAGCTTACTGGCACGGTGTTCGCCTGCCCTCAACAAACAAGGCCACGATGATTTCCACCTCACCTGGAATATCTTCTATATATATATACATAGCGACCCAGCAGTTCCCTTTCATATTGCAGCCAACCGCGCAGCCCACTGCAGGACCACTCCTTGACCCAGGCCAAGCCGGCGACGTCTAAAGCCAAGCCGGCAAAGACGATGGAATTGCGGGTATATATATATATAAGTGGGCCTAGCAGGAGTTCTCTATATTCTAACCTTTGTGGAGTGTTTTCGCCTGGAAGTTTGGCTGTCTCACAAAAAATCAGTCAACACTGTGTGTATATATATATATACGCATATATTCTTTCAACCTTCTGTGTACAATATCTTCTATTTGCACAGTAACCCAGCAGTTCCCTTTCATTTTGCAGCGCACTGCACAGCAGACTGCATGGCCAACAGCAGGATCAGGGCCAAGCCAGCGACGTCTAAAGCCTTGCCAAACCATCGAACCTCGCCAAGCTATGGCGGTTGTGCCCACCGCATGCCCAGGATTTCCACGGGCATTGGACATTTTGGACGATCTGTGGTGGCAGTGGGACGAAGTGTCCTGCATGGTGTTTGTGATTGCTTGATTTTTTTGGATTGTGATCTTGTATGATCTTGTTTGTAGATTGATGGATAGATGTTTGGGTCCGGTATATATATATATATAACTATATATATCGTCGTCGTTGTCCAGTTGATCCATCCGAGTTACAGACCTACTTGGCACGTCTTGAAGATGAACTCCACGACTATTGGCATGGTCGTGGCCGGACCAAAGATGGCCGAAAGAAAGGCCGTGAGGATTTCGACCGCATGACGCAGCCTTTCTTGGATGAGAAGGGCATTGATTCCTCGATGGCTTCGTGGGGACCCATGGTGTGTTCGAATGCCCTCCGCACTCTATGCCGGAGGTGGTTTGAGGAAGTTCAGATGTCGAACGGCGTGTGCCACGGCTTTTGCGAGGGCTTTCTTGGATGGTGCTTGTCAGAATGGGAGGAATTCTGGGATCCTCGATTCGATGATTTGCTAGAACTCCTTTTCCTCTTCCTGGCAAAGTTCGACATGGTGGTGAAGCACCCATGGGCTTGTGCTTGGCAGAAGTGGCACAATATGGACTGCATACTTGAGTTTCGAGCAGTCTGTGTCACCCGCGCGCGCAGGGAGCGGTGGGAGAGGCAAAGGCTGCTGGGACAATAGTGATAGTGCCCACCAGTCGAGGCCAGATCCCATCGGTGATCGACATGGAGGATGTGATTTGTAAATGTCAGCCGTGCTTCTGCTTCAGATGACCCATTTCTTCTATTTATGTGTACAATGTTTCTGGGTCACCGCGGGACCGGGAATGGGGCCAGGTCGCCGGCCCGTTTTGTGTTTAAGAAGCCGAAAAGGCTCCTAGCGCCACCTAATAGCTCACTCAGCTCGAGTGCATACATTTAGAGATCCTGTCGGTCACGTGGGGTTGAGATAGCTCAAACATATCTTCTATATATGCGCGTTGTTTTTAACTTTGTTCTTGTGTCAGGGTTTTTCATTGATGGTTTGGTTGCATGTGACCGTAAGATCCGGAATAGGGTCTGATAGCCAGCCCGTTTTCTGTGCTTGAGAAGCCAAAATGGCTCCTTGCGCCGCCTAATGGCTCATTCCGCTCACTCCGCTCAGTGCAAAGCACAGGTAACACACACGTCGGAGTTAGAGGAGAGGACGAGAGGAGAAACAAGAGGAGAAACAAGAGATGAGATATACAATTATATCTTTATGGTATAAGCACATATTTTGTTGACGTTTTCCTGATTTATTGCAACATGTATATATACTGTCTGAGACTACTCAATGCTTCTTGAGGATATCTTCTATTTATATAATTAGATTCGATAATCTCTCACGGCCCAGGTGCCCAGGCACGCGAGGACTGCTGCGGAAGCTCAGCAACTGGAGAGGGGAGTGGGTCGGGTGTTTTTTTGCTGCAGCAAAATGCGAAAGAGACAAAGGGTGTGATGAGATGAACAAAACAAAATAGAGTTTACGGCATAACAAATGAAGGTAGGCAAGCCAGAGTGGAATGTGTATATATATATATATGTATATATTTAAACCTTCCACATACAATATCTTCTATTTGCACAGCAGCCCAGCAGTTCCCTCAGTTCCCTTTCATATTGCAGCCAACTGCACAGCCCACTGCAGGACTTGGGGCCTTTTCACTCCTTGGTGCAGGCCAAGCCAGCGACGTCTAAAGCCAAGCAGGGGGAAGAACAAGTTGGAATTGCGGGTAAGCGGGGCTAGCAGGAGTTCTTTATATATCTTCTAGGCTTTGTGGATTGTTTTTGCCGGTTGCCGGGTTTCAGATACATGTACATATGTCCAAGCAGCGCAATTGATAGAGCGTTGGTTTCTGGCATGTCCATTAGTGTTAATATCTTCTATTTCCACAGCAAACCTTTGCCTTTCATGTTGCAGGAAGCTACACAACCGACAGCAAAGCAGAAGAAGGTCGGCGACCCAGAACAAGAATTGAAGGGTTGTTGTAATAGGGGCCTGAGTAGAAGTTTGGCTGTGTCACCCAAAAATCAGGAAACTCTGTGTATATATATATATATTCTTTCAACCTTCTGTGTACAATATCTTCTATTTGCACAGTAACCCAGCAGTTCCCTTTCATTTTGCAGCGAACTGCACAGCAGACTGCATGGCCAACAGCAGGATCAGGGCCAAGCCAGCGACGTCTAAAGCCTTGCCAAACCATCGAACCTCGCCAAGCTATGGCGGTTGTGCCCACCGCATGCCCAGGATTTCCACGGGCATTGGACATTTTGGACGATCTGTGGTGGCAGTGGCACGATGTGTCCTGCATGGTTTTTGTGATTGCTTGATTTTCTTTGATTGTGATCTTGTATGATCTTGTTTTGATTTGTAGATTGATGGATACAATAGTTATATATATATATATATCGGCGTTGTCCAGTTGATCCATCCGAGTTACAGACCTACTTGGCACGTTTTGAAGACCACCTCAACACCTATTGGCATGGTGTTGGCCTCACCAAAGATGGCCGAAAGAAAGGCCACGAGGATTTCCACCGCATGGCGCAGACTTTCTTGGATATTAAGGGCATCGGGCGCTCGATGGATTCGTGGGGACGCCTTTTGTGTTCGAATGCCCTCCGCACCCTATGCCAGAGGTGGTTTGAAGCTGCTCAGATGTCGAATGAGAGCACGTGCCACGGCTTTTGCGAGGGCTTTCTTGGATGGTGCTTGTCGGAATGGGAGAAAGCGTGGGATCCAGCTTTTGAAGCTTTGCTGGAACGCATCTTTGGCTTCCTTGCCCAGTTCGACATGGTGGTGAAGCACCCATGGGCTTGTGCTTGGCAGAAGTGGCACAATATGGACTGCATACTTGAGTTTCGAGCAGTCTGTGTCACCCGCGCGCGCAGGGAGCGGTGGGAGAGGCAAAGGCTGCTGGGACAATAGTGATAGTGCCCACCAGTCGAGGCCAGATCCCATCGGTGATCGACATGGAGGATGTGATTTGTAAATGTCAGCCGTGCTTCTGCTTCAGATGAACCATATCTTCTATTTATGTGTACAATGTTTCTGGGTCACCGCGGGATCGGGAATGGGGCCAGGTCGCCGGCCCGTTTTGTGTTTAAGAAGCCGAAAAGGCTCCTAGCGCCACCTAATAGCTCACTCAGCTCGAGTGCATACATTTAGAGATCCTGTCGGTCACGTGGGGTTGAGATAGCTCAAACATATCTTCTATATATGTGCGTTGTTTTTAACTTTGTTCTTGTGTCAGGGTTTTTCATTGATGGCTTGGTTGCCTGTGACTGTAAGATCTGGAATAGGGTCTGATAGCCAGCCCGTGTTCTGTGCTTGAGGAGCCAAAATGGCTCCTAGCGCCGTCTAATGGCTCACTCCGCTCAGTGGAAAACACAGGTAACACAAACGTCGGAGTTAGAGGAGAGGACGAGGGGAGAAACAAGAGATGGGATATACAGTTATATATATATATGTCTTTATGTTATAAGAACAGATTTTGTTGACGTTGTCCTGATTTATTGCAACATGTATATATAATGTCTGAGACTACTCAGTGCTTCCTGGGAATATATTCTATTTAATTAGATAATGTCTCACGGCCCAGGTGCCCGGGCCCGCGAGGACTGCTGCGGAATCTCAGCAACTGGAGAAGGGAGTGTGTGTTTTTTGCTGCAGCAAAGCGGGAAAGAAACAAAGGGTGTGATGAGATAAGCAAAGCAACATAGAGTTTACGGCGTAGCAGGTGAAGGTAGGCAAGCCGG